AATCCACGAAAACTGATAAGATGTCAAGGTATCACAGGTCCGCAGGTGAGAGATCATTTTTCAGATTATCGAGTCGGTAGGCCCAACGACACACTTTTGCGGCTTTTGAAATCATTAGGTTTTCTTATTCACTACATTTCACATCTAATGTAAACGTTTACTTATTCGTTCAGTACATGACAAAAATTTGTATTATCAACCCCACACCTGATGCCAATTTGTATTATCAACACCACATCTGATATCAATATATTATTCAGTTAACTAGTTTAGTGATCCAATAATTTTACTGAAAAAGATTGATTGGGTAAGAAAAAAATTGATCCTGTTTCCCAATCAATCAACCTTTTTCAGTCAATATATTATGTTCAACCACAAACCTGACACCACTTTTTACTTTGTGAATTTTGATGATTTATTGAATATATAACGATTTTCATATCTTTACTGACCTACATCAGGCAATTAAAATTCATTATTTTTGATTTTATTTAAAATTCATTATTTTTGATTTTATTTAAAATTCAATTTTGCCCGAATAAACTTATTTAACGTTGGCGTCAAAATATTAAGAGTTTGGTAATAATATATTGAGTAACCATAGAAGAACAATTGAAAATTATGAATTTCATTAGTTCAGACTTCCGTTGTCTGATATGATTTGAAATCTCTGAAATAACAAGTAAAATTGAAAATCATACTGAATAGCAGAAAATAATTATTTATTTATTTATTTATCGGTCAAGTACACTACAGAATTATTATAAAATCCCAAATGGTACGTCAAGAAAGTTTCAATTGTTGAAACTAGTCAAGCATTAGAGTTCAGTTATGAACCCAACAAGTAAAATCCTTAATATAACTATTATAATTGCTTAAAAATAAGTAAACCTATTTATTTTTTATCAGTCCTATACACTACAAACTATTAATAAAATACCAAATGGAACATAAAAAAAAGATTAAAAAGACAAAAATAAGCTTAAAGACATTCAACACTAATGAATAATTAAATTATAAAACTAAAACGTAACTATGTCCAGTACATTACAGAATTGTAACAAAGTCCCAAATGTTACATCAATGTGCAAACAAACCCTAGAGCCGTCATTTCATTACATATTGTAATTATTTTTTATACAAATAATTGTGGCATTTTCTAAAATAAACATTATTATTATTATTAATAGAGCTACACTGCCACCGTACTCCACGCAGCCAAGTCTTTGGGAAAAGGGCTCAGAGAATTTGGCGAGAGTTTTGCCAGTAGTCTAGCAGGGACCCCCTCTTTGAAACTCAGTACGAGTCCTAACAGTCCACAAGCAGGGGGTCAAAACGATTTTGCTCATAAGGGAGTTGTCACAATCCTGGATATTGAAGTGAGTTTTATAATAACTATGAAATATTTATTGTTTGTGCATTACAGTAATTGAAGAAGCCTAAAAAAATATTACACATTAAATGAGTGGAAAGTTTTTGATGTCAGTTTTGCTGAACTCTGAAAAGGTCCGGTCTCAACATATTCCTGAATGTAGTGTTATGTTTTTCAATTCCCAAATAAAACAATTGATCATAAATCGTCACACTTTTCTATTTGCTTCCAACCTTTACTGTCAAATTATTAACTTGACTTCAAAATGAGTTTTCTTGGGAAGCCTCATTCCCCTTTGGTATTCATGGATTGAGTTTTCTGTTAATCCCATAGATGGCGTCTTCGTAAGGTGAGTTGTCACCGCCTTTTCTTCTTCGGACTTTTTCTTCAATAAAAGTTGAGTCCAGAGGTTTTTGCTTATATTTTTGATTTTGGAGAATTTTCTTTATTCATTCATTCAGTATTTGTCAGAAACTTCATATAAGCTTCAAATTGGGAAAGATAAATCCATTTACAAGACGAAAACAACAAAAGCTCATTTCTCTTAAGCATCAATTCATATTATATCATATTTTTCAATGGCTGCACCAGCGCACAAAAACAAAGACAGCGCCGTTTCAACCTGCCTGATGGTAGGCTGAACAACGAATTCATTGACTAACGGACAACCCTGATAATAAGTATGGACATCTCCTACAAAGATGTACGCTATCTATGGAATTGACAGAAAACTTTTCAATGATAAACAACCATTCCCACAGCGGTCTCTTGCAAAGCCAAGCTTAGACATCGATTGCCAAATGAGAAATAGCTTTCTACCTGTCTTTCTCTGCAGCTTCACTTCAAGGTAACTAGATAAAATTGGAGCTCAAAAATTTACAATGTCGAAGCTTGACTTGATCACCGTGAGGAAAGTTTGAGTTTTATTTCATCCCATGTGGCGTCTTCGAAATAGGAGTTGTCCATGCCGACTTATTTTGAAGCTTGTCTTTAAAACAGCGCTGTCTGGTGTTGGATCACGAATTCTTTGTTTTTGAGCTGTAGTTTCAACAATAGTGCATTTGGCTATTCAGGAATATATTTCAAAAAGTTCCTTGTTATAATTATTTGTTCAGTCAATTTCATCCTTTCATAATTGATTCATTTTCAGAGCCCCTTTGTGCATTTCCTGGAGAAAAACGCTCCGGCCAGCGACCCTGTTATAGCCCACTTTGCTGCGCATACGGAAGCCATAGTATATCTTAAATTCGACCCGAGTGGCATGCTTATCTTCACAGCGGACAAGCGCGGCCACGATTTCCACCTGTTTCGGATACAGCCGCATCCAGGAGGGCCGGCTCTAGCCGCTGTCCATCATTTGTACATACTGCACCGCGGAGATACGACGGCCAGGGTGCAGGACATGTGCTTCTCGCCCGATTCCAGATGGGCGAGTGTCTCAACGCTTCGAGGGACAACTCACGTATTTCCGATCACGCCGTACGGCGGCAACGTTGGGGTGAGAACGCACACAACCATTTCTTTCGAAANAAACCCTAGAGTCAAGTTATTACTTCATATTAAATAAAGGTATGCATTTTCATTTGTCAAATAGTGCATTAAGTTCAAATTCAAAAAAAAGACATGTACGAATACTAGAATAAGTTATGATTATTAAAAGAAATAATAAACGACTATTCAGAAGTTTAATGAACAATCTCTTCATGAAGTCGTCTAATTGCCATTTTTTTGAATTTTAAATATGACAAATGAAAAAGATCAAGTTCTGAAAAGTAAGTATTGAAATTTTTTTGAAGCCTACAACTTATTGCCATTATATTAAGCAAAGAAAACCAGAAGTGAAATTACAATAAAAATTGAAAAAAATTCAATCCAAGTTACTTCACGACGTTTTGATTGTTAGTATGACTATTTATAGCTCATTCGAGTTCTTTCATCTATCCCCTGTTCCCTTACTCCGCTTCACAGGTTTAGTGGGGTTTGAAACTCTGGCCATTGACGAAGCCTTGAGTCTGGTTGAGATACGTTGACGACACCTTCATAATATGGAACCATGGGAATATAAAAGTAGACACCTTTCTGAAGCACATCAACAGTGTAAGAACTTCATCAGATTAGATTTTAATGTATAAGCTGCTTTTTCTTCAGTTTGTGTGACTAGTCTGATAAATATTGTACCAGTAATGTATATGTTATATGTATATGATATTTTAATGATGTAAATTCTATTCTATTCTATTCACCTTCACAATGGAAAAGAAAGTCCACAACGAATTGCCATTCTTAGACATATTGGTGAAGAGGACCGACACTAAGTGGAAAACATCTGTATACTGAAAACCCACTCACACTTCAATGGAAAGGTTACTCCAAAGTGATTGTGGGACAGCAAAAGTCTCGCAAGAAAGAGAAGCCGTCACAACCAATGCGGCAAATCCTATTTCGCTGAAACTAAGAGGCCATTGAAAGTCCGCATTGCTGAGCACAAGAAACACACACAGTGAGGAGAAATCAGCAAATCGTGAATAGCAGAGCATATTTGACCTTATCAACGAAACATCAAGTGGTCCCAAGCTGAGATCATCCACAGGGAGGAACACTGCTCTAGGAGGAATTTCAAAGATGCTGCATATTTGTTGTCCAACGACTCATTCAGCCAAGTTAGCGTAGAGATACGCAACATATGGAACCCATAATCCGGTGAACGGGAGAGGGAAGAGGGGATAGGTGAAAGCTCTTGAATGACCTATAAATAGTCTTCTCTCAGAGGAATAGTCCAGTCATCATCAGAAGACGATTGTGGGTACTAACAATCGAAACGTCATGAAGTAACTTGGTTTGAAGTCTTTTAATTTTTATTTCATTTTCAATTTTTTGCTTACTTTAAATTTTATTGTAATTTCATTTTAGTGTTTTTTTGCTTGATATATTTGTTATTTTCAGATATTCAGTTTAATTTTCAATTTTACTTATTCTTTCAAGGATTTCATATCATATTAGACAATCGAAGTCCGAACTAATGAAATTCACCATTAAACATTGTCAACCACCTTCAAACAAAAATTGAAAATTATGTATGCAGCCTCTCCAAGATAGACTAGTAGAAAGTCAAAAACTTTCTTCTCCAAAAATTAGTCACTCCTAAAAATATAACCCTTTCAATATATTCATATTCTCTTCAACGAACTCTTTTATTTGATACACATACTAAGGGACTGCATAAAAAACTAGTCTGCCATTGTGAGAGGTCAGTTATATTGTATGTAGGATGGGGCCACTCAGCAAATCATACATTGATATCCAAACTAAATCTGTATGTAAAGTTTCAGTTCAATCTGTTGGGGGATAAATGCTTCAAAATTCAGTTTTAAAATTTGACCTAAACCAACGTACATACATAACAAACATTAAAACTTAAATAAAAGTTAAAAAAATGATAAATTCACAAACGTCTTCTTTGCAGGACTGACTGTCGAAGGCAGGTCCAACAGCCCTGTTGCAATGTTTGAAGCACCTTCGAGCTCCCCTTACCCGTATCTGAATCCAAGGTACCCACCCTACCCACGTCCTACAGTGGTGAACCCCTTGGCCCAAATCAGGCAACCTGTGTACATTCAGAATCCAAAATCGTCTCCTCAAAGGCCGCAGACAGGTACGTCATAAATTGTAGCCAAAATAGTTTTTTGGAATGATTGTTTTAATTTTCAGGGCGACAACGGCTGTCTTCTTCGTCGGAAGAGAACGTTTCACTCGGCCTAGTGGCGTGTTTCGCTCCTCCAAGAGCTTGGTTAGACACACAATCTCGCGAAATTGCCGCGGCCAACAAGCAGAGACCAGTCGAGTCTCTGTTCGTGATGTCGTGTTCCGGAATGCTCATCCAGTATGAACTTGACCCGCACCAGGTCTCCAAAGTTCCCAAGGAACGAGTCTCAAGCGAAACGCCTATCGAACTGACTGTTTGGGCCAAAGCGCAGTGGTTTCTGCAAAGGAAGCCCTCGTCCGCAGAACTGCCTCTACCCATGACAAAAGACAGTTTAAGTTTCCTGGATCAAGAAGAGCCTGTACGTAAAAAGAAGTCCGACGACAATGACGAACTCTGGGTGTCCCAGGTGGAAATCATAACGCATGCCGGGCCACACAGGAGGCTGTGGATGGGGCCGCAGTTTACTTTCAAGACGATAACTACAGGGTGAGATATTATAGGTTTCAGATATTTGAGCAATGTCTTGCTTGCGTTCAAGATAATTGAAATAATTCGTATATTCAAACTTAGGCAACTGATAATTTCGGTATTTTGTAATGTCACTTGTCAGTTAAATGATATCATTTAAATATTGATTTGAGGTGATTAAAAATAACTAAATACATTCAGTAATATTATCATAAAAATACTCGAAAGCATAATTTTTTTCATTATGGCTTCTCAAGGATCTTTAAATGCTATTTGTTTGTAATTTGATTCGAATCTCTTTAATATTTGTATTCATTTTCGGTAAAGCAGACATTGTTGTTAAAATTGTGTTCCACCCTTAATTTTTCTGTTACAGATCACCTTTCTCTTTATCAGAGGCTCAACCTGTTGATCTCAGTCATTCGAAACCTATGAACATGCCTATTACCAAAGCAAACGCCGTATTGATAGAGTCAACGTCGGCGTCTAGTTGCGAGCAATCACTACTGGAAACATATCATAGGACGTTGGAGGAAGAGGGTGGGGTTGGAGAGTCTAAGCTCAAAGAAGATCTAGCAGATGCCATGTTGGAACCGACGGGAATCAGAGAAACTGGTGAGTTAATTTTTTCGGTTGGATTTTCCACTCAATTTTTGTTACAACTTAGTTTTATCGCTTTTCTGCCAGCTGACACAGATCTTCAACTACAACACAATCGATTTAAATTTTCTTTTAGGACCCCTCAACTTCTATTCTGTCAAACTTATATTCTTTTGAAATCAGCACTTGAAATTTATTTCTGAGTATTCATCCCTAACCTAACACCAATTTGTATAATCAAACTACACCTAACAATTTTTTAAGTTCTCAGCCCCACACCTGACGCCAATTTATATTATCAATCCCACACCTTACTTCAATTTGTGTTATCTATCCGACACCTGACACTTTGTTATATTATTGACCTCATACTTTACACTAATTTGTCATCAGCCCAACATCTCACACTAGTTTGTATTATCAACCCCACAACTCACACTAACATATATGTGTTTAAAATATGACACCTGACACCAGTTTGTTTGATAAACTTCATACCTTAGACTAATCAGCCCAATGTTTGACGCCAGTTTAGATTATGAACTCCACACCTTACAATAACTTGTGTTATCATTCTGATAGCAGTTTGTGTTATCGACTCCACACCTGATACCACTTTTTATTTTCTCTTTCACTGATCCATCTAGGACACCAAAGCTGAATGGACATTTTCAGCATGTGTAAATGATCTTTATTTGATTTCCCCAGTAACCTTAACTCCACACCTTACAATAACTTGTGTTATCATTCTGATAACAGTTTGTGTTATCGACTCCACACCTGATACCACTTTTTATTTTCTCTTTCACTGATCCATCTAGGACACCAAAGCTGAATGGACATTTTCAGCATGTGTAAATGATCTTTATTTGATTTCCCCAGTAACCTCAAATTTCCCAATAATCTTAAACTGATCAACTACTTCCTACTATTCCTAGGCAAACGAAGATCCTGTGTCATCTGGTAGTTCTAAATTCGAAATTATAGATTTCAATAACTCATAATTCCATAACAATGTGCAACTGGAAAAGATTTTTTTTAAATTGGTAATTTTTACACTTGAATCATACATTCTCTATCAACCTCTTTAAAGAAAAGCTTGATACTGCAGCATCTAAGATCTGAGTGTACATCTTTACCGAACTGTTTGACTTTTTTTCTTTTCGTTATCTAGCTTTGATCCTTGTACCATATTAAAATACCTTAATCCTGTTCCGATCAACTCTGACAAAACAATCTTGGTTATGGAACTCGAAAAAGCCAAAGGCAGGCTTCACTGATCACGTAACAAAGCTTATTACTAGTGTTTTTTTTATTTTTTTTTAATATGCACTCTAACCTCACATTACTCACACGAACTACCAAGGCAATCCTTCGGTTTCGGTCTGTACTTGAATGCTAGCCTCATAGTGATATTTCTGTAGTAGGTGCATACTTTGAAGAAAATTGAATTGAAAATGGTGGGAACGGTATTGAATTTTGATTCTAAACCGAAGTTTTTCAATATAATAGATTTTCGATAGATTTTGATAATTTTTTTATTTTAATGATTTTCGTGTTCTCTTGTATCTTTTTTAATTTTTTTTATTTAACGTATTGCTGCTTAACAATCTAAACTTGTTATTATAACGTTTGTTTGAAGGTGGTTGACAATGTTTCGTGGTGTATTTCATCAGTTTGGACTTCCATTGTCTAATATAATATAAATTGATTTGAAATCCCTGAAAAAAATTAATAAGATTAACCGAAAATAACAATTTTATTGAACAAAAAACTGAAATTACAAAGAAATAACATACAAGCAAACAAACAAATGATCAACGTTAAAAACGATAAATACTATTCCCAGCTAACATATATAGACATGTCATGACGGATATATGATGGACATCCAATAGCAACTGTTTGTCTATAAGATATTTATTGAGAATGTAGACAAGATATCCTCCTTATCAAAGTAGAGGTTGATTGAAACTTTTGTAGTCTTTTCATACTTATTATGAGTAGTTCTGAGTAGTAGTTCTGAGTAGTTCGTGTGAGTATTCAAAAATAAAACTTTTGACCCTGCATGCGTGCATGTGTAGATCCATCAAAAATTTAGAGTGAAGAACATCAGTAACCTGCCATTGGCTTTTTCTGTTCAGGTGGGCGGTGCGTGATCGTTCAAATGAAACCGACGGCCGTCGCTAAAATAGTCAACTCCGTGGGAGCGGTCATTAACGCTCCATCGGAAGACGACGACGAAGAAACGGAGGTTTTTGAAGAGGTAATCCACGAAAACTGCGACGAAGCACTCTTTCGGCCCATCGTCGCTCCAAAAACGATAGCGTGCCGTGGCAAAACGAAACACTACGGCGACGACATCATAACGAAGAGTTTGGGCGCCACCACCGAAGTCGCTGTTACTATCCTCAAGAGGGGCGCAGATAAAATCAAGGCCAAGTCGAGAGAGGCGTCTTCTAGAAACGTTAAGGAAAAGCCTAGAGACTCGCCTAGTCGTTTGCTCCTTGAGGAAAACACTAAAAGTGTCGAAATCAGGGCGAAGCCGAATGTCGAGGCTAAAATCGTCGACAGTACTGATGGGACTGATATTGAACCACCAAAACCTGTTAAAACCGAATCAGATAAGGCAGACTTTGACGTTCCACCATTTGAAAGCGAAGACTTTTTCTCGCTGGAGACCCTGCCGAAGTCCGATGCCTTCGAAGATGCCAGAGACTGCGAGGAGGCATCCTCGGCGCCCAACAAGGGAAAGAGAAAAACCAGACTGAAAGTCGACAAGTCTTACGCATTGGACGATTCTTCTGAAACGAATACCTCGGAAGAAAACGTTCTGGAGGAAAAGAGTTTCACCAGACGAACGAGAAAGCCGAAAGCTAAGCTAGGAGTGAAGATCGCGAACATCAACAACGAGAATCTGAACACGGAGAAGACTTTGGAGCAGCGCGCCTCGGAGATTACTGTCAAGAAGTCCTGGAGCAGCATAGCCTCGTCGAAGTCGGCCAAAGAGAAGTCTTTGATCGACCATACGGAAAACGAGAAAGACTCGAACCCGAGCTTGCCGACGATTGAGTTTACGGAAGAGTTTACGGTGCGTTTACCAAGGAAATCGAAAGAACCCTACAATGCTCCTGATCTCATTGATATAAGTCTCCCTCCGGAGAAAAAGACAGCTGCGGAAGTTCCAGTGGTTTCCATAACGGCTGATTTGTTGAAACTGGACAAGTCCTCTGATGACGATAAAGGAGAGTCTAGCAGTTCACCCGGCGAAAGCGATGACTCAGGAAAAGTTCCGGATTTGATATTCGAGGACTTGACTGACTCGAAAATCGCCCTGGTGGCGTCTACTAAGTCGTCTCGGAGGAGGAGGAAAAAGAAATAATATGTTTAATGTATCTTGAAGAGAGAAGAAGTGATGTGGTGTGATAATTTGCGCAGCCAAGTTGCTAGAAATTAGCAAGTTTTAAAGTTTGTACCATCTTTTTTATCTATAGGTTCCTTGGGAGGTAGTTTTCCAATTTTTTTACCTTTGGAGTTATGCTTATAAAATTTAACTCGCTTTCAGAGTTTCAATGGGGTTGTTGTGGCCCATGGATCAGAGTGGCTTTGTAAAAAAATATTCTGCCGCTAATGTGGAATGAGAAAAACTTTTATTTTCGAAGCTGAAATAAAAGAGAAATGATGGTTATCAGAATAAAAATCGTCTTAGTCAAAAAAGAGGCTTGAGTTATTTTACTCTTGATTCAATTTGATGTGTGCTCCTTATTTCAATACATTTCAATGTATTCACAATCATCCTCAGTTACAATCCAAATACAAGTGGATACTGACAATAAAAATGTCACAAAGTAGCTCGAATTGAAATCTTTTTTCCCTTTTTCCAACTTTTATTGTTTGTATATCATTGATTTTCCAGTTAAATGTTCAATCCATTTATTAATCAATTTCCATTTCTACATACAATAACTCATTTTCATTTTTATATATTTGTGTTTTTTTAAATTCTTGTACATTTAAAATCTGATAACTTAATTTTAGACAATGGAAGTCCAAACTTCTAACATTCTTACCTAAATGCTTTTTTTTGTCAAATACATCACACAATAGTTGACAATACCCACATTTCATCTTTGTGATTGCTAGACAAAAATACCAGAATTAATGACGTTTTATCAAAAATCACTTAGATTTAATAATAGAACCTACAGCATGTTATAACTCTTTTGAAAAACTAGGCTTTTTCTGGATTTAATAAAATATATCCTTTGTATATACTTTTCCTTTTTATGAATCGTCGTATAAGATTTGAATTTGTCATTTAGATTATTTTTTGAAACTTTTTCATAATTTTCACATATTAATATGAGACATTGAACTGAAAATTCAAATAGTGAAATATAATGATGCCTTCATCTTAAATGAGGAAATTCGTTATGAGCTGGATTTTGAACCCCAATAAATAATAGTAAATTTTAATGTTTTCTGAAAGCGATGAAAAGAAACGGACTAGCTTGTACTCGATATTTTAAATTTTACATTCATTTTCAACACTACATATTTTTCATAAAAATATTAGTATTCGTCTTTTTTTAAATGAACTCTACTACTAGCCTAAAAACGACATGAAAATAAAAGTTGCTTCAGTTTCTGAAATGAAACATGTTTCTATTCCACTCTTATTTAATAGCTAATGATAAGGTTTTGTAACACTTTATAACTGTGAATCAAAAACTCACTCAAGTGTGCTCTGATTATTTGTAAATATATAATCGGGTAAATGTGTAATTTTACTAAAATATCACTTTACTTCAATTGAAAAATCTCATATTTAAAATATCTGTTCTACATCACAAAACTCTGTATTCCGTCAGTGTATGGTTTTTACCTTTGGTAGCACTGACATAATGTTCATGTTCTACCAATTTTATGATCAAATGATTGTCGGTCGGTAGCCAGGCAGTTCGACGTGGGTGCTTTGTTCAATCAGTCAATCGGCCGATGTGTGAGTCGATGGTTCAAGTCCCAGGCTGAACGTTCGATTTTCACTTGTTATCGTCCAACCCGTGTTAGGAATCACACGTTAAAAGGTAAGACCTCGTTAGTCCTTAGCTCTCACAAGTTTCAACTTCTGAGGGTTGTCGTTCGTAGGGGTGCGATATTTGGTTAACGGAAAAATCATATTTTAAACATTTTTTTTTTACACAATATCCTACAGAATAATGCTACTAATGGTGAGAACAATCTTCTATAATAGTAGTTCAATTATATATCCCCGATTCTGTTATTTATATTCACGGTTTTCATTTTTATCTCATATCTAGAGGTCTTGAAGTTTCAGCTAGATAACTTCGTAGATATATATGAATACATCCAGACAACTTTCATTAAAGTGAAAGTGTGGTGTATGAATCCTCTCTTTGATTTACATAGAGATATCCTGTTTCAAGTAAAAGATGCTTGATGTGATTTTGAGTGACTTTATTATCGCTTTTTCATTTGATTTTGTATCTCCGTTGATTCTTTTTTTTTTTCGTGGGCTTCTTGATTTTGCTTTCTCATTGAGAATAGTTTTCTACGTATCACATCTATGTGAAGATTTAGCGACATTCTCACCTTTCACAATCTTGAAATATAAAAATTGTAGAACTTGATACAGGTACAGAAAACTAAACTCAAAATTCTAGTTCATCTCGATAAGTTACTGCATGAATTCAAAATGCGCCATTCATCAGTTACTTATATATTTTGTTATTTATAAAAAAAGAGTTGCACAGATTCTTGTGGAAGGCGAGAATACCTAGAAAGATCCATAGAAAAAACATATCTGCCACAAATAAAAGATTTTTGTTCAATGTTTAACTAGATTCATTCTGCTACAATCAACATGCCCTTAAATTAAAAAGGTATATTTTTAGGAGAGATTAATTTTTGGGAAAGAAAGTTTTTGGCCTTTCTTTGGAAGACTCCCACATTTTTTATATCAAGATGTAGAAGTAGAAAGCCAAAAACTTTCTTTCCCAACAATTTACCTTATTGTGTTCAGCTAAGAACACCAGTTATTGAGGAATCACTTCAATTGAGAAGACATATATCAGTTGATATCCATATAGTAAAATTGGTTTTAAGGTGCTATAAGTTATTTTAAGTTATTAATGTAGAGAATGAATTCTTTGTATCCAAAGGTAATAACTTAAGTATATTCCTTTTTTGGTTTTCGTTGTGTACTCGAAGTTTGCCTGTATTTATTTTGAATCTTAGGTTGATGGTTTTCTCTAACGTTGTGATGTACAATTTCTATTTTTAAACTAATCAAAAGAAAATATAATACGTGGATTCAAGGCACATTATCGGTGTATCTATTAAACCTTTTTATATCAGGTGTACATAACAAAATAAAAAAAATATAATAACTATTAGTTTTAGGTGTACATGTTTTGGGTATTATACTTATTCAGGTTATTTATTCATTTCTATTTTGGTGTGTGTTAAGATAATTCTTGAATAGTATATGCAGTGTGGATCTGTATGAATTTGAGGGTGATATGTAACTTGAATTGTGTTGAGTTGTATATATTTTTTTAATAATGCAATTTGGTGAAAAAACCTCCGGCACAAGGGTTCTTGTGATACATATGAATTGGAGGTTATTTTTGTCAGAAGTGTTCTCCAGGAAGAATTTTTAATAAATATTAACTCGGATACACTCTGTATTTCACTTTTTTAGTAAGTTATTAATATCTTTTATGTCATGAAGCTCGGGTACAAAGAGGTTTTGGGATTAACACTATTGACATTATCAACAGAAATATCATTACATTTCCCCATTCAATTTGATAACTTTACCATATTATTATTGTTATTATAAGTTTCAATGTGAAAACGGGATTGGTACTGTTTTCCTGTTCCTGAATCCGACTTTGTCAATAGAAATGACAAAAATTGTAATAAACACCAGAAAGAACATTATTCAGAACAGATGTTTAATAAATTCTGTTTCATCCACATTCATAAGGTGTCCGATAGGCACAGTTGTCGAAATTGCTGGTTATAATAATAATAATGTTTATTCACCAGTTTTGGATACATTAAGTATATACGTAAGTCAATTTAATTAAATGTAAAAGAATATAAAATGAAGTATATGTGACATAGTCAAAAATATATACAAGTCCAGTCATATAATATATACAACTGAAAAGCTATTATTTAAAAAGTCATTGTAATGTAGTAGTATGTTCATATGAGTTGGAGCAATAACGTGGAAAATTCTGCCTAGCGAACATAACTAAGTACAAATAATTATATATAATTAGTATAACTGTATATAATTCGAGGGTGCAGGTAGAATTTTATGATTTTTAACGATGGATCGACAGCTGTCCTGAAATTTGACACAAAAAATTTGTTGTAGAATTCGCTGCTTCTGCTACTACTATTGAAAAGTCTCTTGTCCTACCCCAGATCATAATATTCAAACAACTGGTAGGGTTTTCAGGTGGAAAAATGTTACGATAACTGACTTTTTAACCTAACCTTACCCCACATTTTCAATATCATCCTATGAATTCAGTGTTAACTCATTTATTTGACACCAGGCAGTAAACTCGTCCATAACCGGTGTCGTAATTTGGTCTCCGTACTTTTCTGTGGATTATGTAGGTGAATCTGAAATAGGTTCTAAGATTGATTTAGATTTGAATTTTCGAATGGTCTCTGATGGTCCTTGAATATTATTATTGTCTTTATTATCATAAGAAACATTAGATGTTTATGAATAAGGATTTACTGAATTAACTAAAGATACAAATTTAACAAAATAATGAAATATCAAACAAGAAAACAAGTGATTAATGTGAGCATTGAACATTCAATTTGTTAATAGGTATAAAAAAATTATAAATAATTGAACATTCAATATATCCAAACAGTCAAATGTGAAATTCTCCATAATTAATATGAACATAATTAAATGGTAGCTCTGGTTGCAGCAGCTCTTCCTCTTTGTTGGTCCTTCGTAGTTTTCTGGCCGATGTTTGTTCTAATTACTTCTTGGACAATCTGTTCTGCGAGAGATCCCTTTTGATGTAGTCCAAATATTTATTGAAGCTTTATGCGTCATTCAAAAGACTAAATGCTTGATCAGATATTTTCCTCTGGATTTGGATGAAGGACAGATTTAAAGTTCAAATGACATCCTATGTGAATCTGAAACTCATTGTTAGACCTCTACATATCTGAAAGAGCACAATATACCTCTACACACTCCAACAGTGTTCACAAAATATTCTAGATAGTTTGAAAGTCAGAAGTTTATGTGATGAAAATTTGACATTTCATAAACGTGTGAAACAAAGCTCTTTCACACGTTTGTTATCTAAGGCCAAAGTTTTAGAGATATTCTAACCTAAAATTTCATATCACATAGTATTTATTTTTCAAATAACCGAAATATTTTTTCATTTTGGAAGAGCTATATAATTTTGCCATTCAAAATAAATTTCGTCCCTAGCTGATATATGAGATATCACTTTCTAAAACAAGGTACAAGACTTTCCTGAATGTCACAGAAGCTTACATATTACTTTTCGCGCCAATTGGATTCTAACAATTGCTGAATTTAAATTTGAAATTAGTTTTAAAAAATTGATGTTTCTTTGTAAAGCGATACCAAAATATTGTTCTCTTTAAAATATTTATCTGAAGAGATGCACAAACAAAAGATTGGACACTACAGAAGTTTCACTAAATTGTA